TATGCTTGAATTTAATTTTAGAATTATTTATCCTACTTCTTAAACACGGAATAGAATTATTTAAATAATAGAAAAACTTTATTTTAAAAATTTGTCGGGAAATAAATTTTTTTGCGCTCTATTTTAAAATTTTTCGTACATTTTGCACATTTTCCCCTTTCAGGTCACTGATTTTATTAATTATCACATTTTATATAATTTTAATTAAATTATTTATAAATCCCATTAAAATTTATTCAATTTAAAAAAAATAATTAATTAATAACTCATCGAATTAATTGAAAAAAAAAAATTATTTACACTTGTTTAAAAGTTTAGAAAGACGGCTAAAGAAAAAGCTATAAAAAAAAATTTTTCTCACATCAAATACTCTTTTTTTTTTGCCTTTAGAGGAAATTGAGGACAAAATTTTCTTTTAATATTAAATAGTCTACTCTCACTCTAGATTATAAAGGTTACATTTACAAAAAAAATTTGTCTACAAGAATTTTTTCTACTACATAGATAACAATCTAGACAGTTTCCAAGATTTTTCGAGCTTAGTTTCAGAAATAGCAAAAACATTGTCTTACAAACACCGTAAGGGTCTTAGATATAATATATACGCCCATATGCTAGATATAGCTGTGTACGAGGGCGTAGAAATTTTTTCTCCTTAAAGTATGTTCTATCTTGTAAAAAAATGGAAAAATTTATTAAAAATGTCAATCTAATTCTAAAATAAAATACAAAATTGTTAATTTAAATTTTTCAGAACAACTAAAATATTTCGCCGGTCTAATTAGCAATTGGTCTAACTGCTTATTTTTTAGAGGGTGATTTTTAAATTTTGATGTAATAATAGTCCAATTATAAATTATTTGAATGATCTAAACCAAAACATTATATCTCTATTAGATAATAAAAGGTTTTTCAAAGTGATAATAAATTTTGAACTAATTTTTTTTTTCATACAAATGGAAAATTCTCTAAAATGGAGTTAGACAATTTGCTAATTAGAACGTCAATTTATTGATTTATAAAAGAAAAAAAAATCATGCAAAGTTTTAGGATAAAAATACGAGTTTTTTAAAATCCATTGACTATAATAATAATAATAATATTTTATAAATCCAAAAAAAAGCATTCGGTAATTTTTTTATCGGACTTTTCACGTGATTAATCACAAATTAATTAATGCCTGCCCTTTCCTTCTCTTTTGCGTACAACTCAGTCTAAAAAAAAGCGAACAATAAAACTCTGAACTGTCAAACTTTTAAAAATAATAAAAAAATCTTTAATTTCCAACGAATTTGTATATTAAAAAGCAATTCAAGTCAAAAATAAAATTCTAGATTTTAACAAAAATAAAAAAATGGGTAAATGAAAAAAAAACGAAACCCGAGTAAATAAATAAAAAGTACAAGTAAAATAACATGCCTTTTTTATTTATTTAATGTTTACTCTCGAATAAGTTTAGTCGCACAGATGCAATGCAGAGGAATAATAAAACGACTATAAAAAATAAAACAAATAGAGATGAAATAAAAAGGGTAAAGCAAAGTAAAGACCTAGAGAAAGTAGAGGATAGTACACATCGGATAAATAGCATCTAAACTCAACTGTACTGTAGCGCACAGCATCCTAGTGAGTACTTATACATACATGTATTAAACTGCATCTTCTGTACGTGTAATTCACATCACAGATTTCGGCGCATGTGTGTTCTACGTCGATGATAATAATGCCGTACTTTTATTAGTATTAGTTGCAGTAAAAGTAGTAGTAGCAGCCAAAGTGGGGGCGCTTGACTAACGGGTAAATATATATAACTACACACATCCATCCATTCATATATACATCTATATAAAACACACACATTAAATCCTGCTAGGAAAAGTGGGGGAGTACACTTGCGTCGCGGGATAACAGTCTGTACTATACTTCGAGGTGCAAACCCAACGCGAATTCGAAAGACCGCCAGTCAGTGTCCGCGCGCCGGCCAACTATGTTCATATATATCAATTGAACTACAAGTACACTTTAAAGCCCTTATGGTGTAATTGTCGTGATCTTTTTAAATTTTTTATTATTATTATTATTAATCCGTCGGATTTCATGGAGGTAAAGACCACACGCGATGCCAATCAAACTTTATAACTTTTTACCAATTAATTTTTTTTTTTTAGAAACTAGTCAGTGCTCGTGATGCAAAAGGATTTATTTTAGTTCTTTTTTTTTATTTTATTATTACTGATATGAGGAATAATAGTGAGTGGGAATTATAAATCTTATCTTATCAAAATAAATACTGTGACTGCGTTTATCAGGCGAATAATAGGAGGCATCTGATAAATTTATTTTAAAATTTTAACAAACGTGGATTTAATTTTTTTTTACACAATTAATTGTCTCGTTAAAAAAATCTATTTTTTTTTATGCAGACAAAAAAAATTATCAAATATTCAAAATCACGTTATTTTTCATGAAAATTAAGTTTCAAAATTTTTATTGAAAAAATTTCAATTAAAAAAAAAAAATTCACATGTAAAAAACTTTAAAAACTATAAGTGCAATTTTTTAGAAATATTTTTTGAAGCTGCTAAATTATTTTTCACATAATTAATTTAAAAGAGCAACTTTATAATTTTTATCACTCCAATGAAAATTAAAAAAAGGAGTCAGATGTCGAGAAAAAAACATTTAATAAAACGTGAAAAATGTACATGATGATTAATCGAGTCAGCATCTGCCCTTCTGAGTTTTAATTTCTTTATCGTCGACTGCATTAATATTATTCCTACTTTTATTTAACATTAACATTACGTCAAGTAATCTTACGCTCATTATTCAGCGAGCAGCTGTGGCACGTCGATATGCACCTTTGCTAAAAAATTAAAATCTTCCTTTCAATTTAAAATTTCATCACCTGCCTCATGAATTCAAAATTCCCGTTTCTCTTTACTAATTTATAAATATTTAAAAAAAAATAATCATTTATTTAAAAAAAAAACAAAGAGATGTATCGATTAAGACTTGTTATTTACTTATCGCGATAAAAAAGTAAACTGTGAATACGTAGAAGTTGTAAGTGGGAACCGATGAGATTAAACAGAAGATCAAGTTTATCGAGATATATTTCAGTACCGTATAACAACAAATAAAATATATCCTATCGCAGTTAAGTTAAAACATAAACATTCTAATTTTATTTTATCCTGGTTAATGTTAAACTAAACTCTGGTGATAAATAAAATAATAAATAACCATTATTATCCATTTCGGTCTAATCACATTCTCTATCTAAGAAAACCGGGGATGCTGCACAGTGCCCCTATAATACTAACGGAATACATTTTCAGGCCATTAGGAAAAACGTCTGATAACGCGAGAGATAAAAAAAAAACAGTAAGAATAAAGAAAGAAAGAGTATTATTCGAAATGAAATTTAAGAGTATTTTCTTTGGCTTTCACCGGGGGTGTTACGTTTTTTATTCAACTCCCTTCACTAAATCATGAATGAAAAATTGACATTGGATAAATGGGATCTACTTTTTTCTTCGATACGTGCAATAAATAAAGTGCAATTATCTGATGAACTTTAAGAGTGCTGTTATTATATTATATAAATCTCGATAATAATAATTATTAATATCCATTAGAGTGTCAGAGGTGGTAATCACTCAGAAATATTTTATTTTATGGATTAAAAATAAAACTAACTTCAATTAAATTATCTTCTCGCAGATATTGAAGACAATTACTCGGTAACAAGATTAGGAAATAATCCGCTGATTGGACGGAGTATAAAGACACTAAAACGCGTTAATTACAGCGTTAATCAGCTTCGAGATGAGATAACGATTATCATTGATGTTTTTTTGTCCCCGCAGGCGGTGAAGAAAGTTGAAAAAAAATAATAATGCCGGGAAAAATAATAAAAATGGGTTTAAAAGCCAAGTCATGTTTTGTAAAAATAACTCGACTCATTCAGTGAACCCTAATGGATTAAAAGCGCGTATTTAAAATATTTAAACTCGAGTCGAATTGGCAAAGTGTAAAATCGCGTGATTAACGACTAGGGCTGTGACTACTGTTGGAATGAAAGCCCAAAAATCACTCGAGTAGATCAGGAGGTAACCATTTACGTCTCTAGAGAAACGAACAAGTTTCTTGGGCTTGGGCTTGAGAGAAATTTCAATAATTACGCGGTCTGAAGTTTCCGGCGAGCCATGAACTTCGACCTCACTACTCGACAGCAACACTGAGATTCTCCGTCCCACTTACTCTCTCGAGGCTTCTCCCTTTCTATGCATACCTTTGTATAGATTTAATATAATATTAAAATAAAATATTAATTATTGTTTGCTTTGTCCTCGGGTATAACTTTGTTTTTATAAAATTTTTAATTACCCAGTTAATTTTAAATAAAATAATTAATATTTAAAAATTTATAAGAAAGCACAAGTCCGATAAAACAAACAAGTTAGGTAATTCTATAGTATGCTCTTGTGATTCAAGTATGAAGAGTTTTGCGTGTTGAAAAGTTGGAGGTTGCATTTTAGAGTCTCCAAGCGAGACTCAGAATACAAATTAGTACATAGTCTCAACACTACTCTATATATTTATTCTTTACAAGTTACAAGACACTTTGTACTTGTTGTAAAGAAATAAAAATAAAAATAACTTATTTTATATTTCAGGAAAATTAACTTGATAAATATTTCTTGATAATTAAAGAAATTATTGAGGATTTTTGTGATGAATTATGTCAAAACCACTTTCTTAATCATCAAAGGAAATATTTAAGTGTATCCGCCGGATGAAATATGAAAATATTCGAGCTACGACAAATGGATTCGCCGATGAAAATAACAGCAAGAGAATCCGAATTTTTAGGATTAATTAACACGATAAATTATCGAAAACAACGGACTATTTGAGGATAAACCAAAAAATGTAGAAGATAATCCTCTTGGCGAGGAAATAAAAAAATTTTTGGGAGAAAAAATTAGACGAAAATGGGAGCAGCGAGGCTGGTTCTTGGTGGTGCAATACTTGGTCTTTTTTGGGGTGGTATACCGCAGACAATTGGCTCGGATGCTCTCAATGGAATCTGTGAATCATCCCCCTGTGTCTGTGATCTTCACGGACGGCTCACCTGCGATTGTGAGAATAGACCCGAGGTATGTTTTTTATTTAAAAAAAAAAAAGATCTATGTTGTGATGAATAGAAAGATGAATTAAAATGTCCGAACGACAAAATGTCAAATTGAGTTTAGGATTATCAACCTACATTTTCTGACACATGTGCTGAATTTTTTTCGACAACCACAAGCACGCGTTAGTCATCCCTCACCACAAGGGAATTTCTCACAACTTTTATTCATACAAACACACAGTTTCGTTTTATGAAAAAAATCATTTATGTTTTTTAATTTTATTGTACTTGGTCTCAAATAAAAATTTTTCTCTTTTCTATTTTATGTGATTGCCACTCGCAAAAACTCAATTGCCTCGTTTGCCGTTGTTACTTTAATAAAAAGCAAAACAACTGCAGGCCAATAGAAAAAGGACGAAAAAACGTATTCACACCACCGGGTAAAATAAATTGCCAATAATTGATTAAAAAAACAACAATACCGTCAATAATTTTTTTTTTTCTTTTTAAATTAAAATTTTGGACAAATATTTCACTAAATCATAAAACTGTCCGCCTTGTAGAATCTCAAGTTCTCATAAATAACATTGCGTTTACGTAAACCACCTAGGGTGTGTAAATATTTGAATTATGATCCTTGTTTATGCACAGAAAAAAAATTAACTTAATTCAAGAGAAAAATTTTTGAACCAAGAATATAATTTTGAAGGGTAATTGTCTTGAATCAAGACGAAAAATTCTTGAATTAAATAAAATTTCTTTAAATCAAGAATTTTTGATTCAAGAAAATTTTATTTTCTGTGCACGAAATTTATATTAAAAATAATAATAGATTAGATTCTTTAAAAAAGGTAAATCTTATATCAAATAGGATATATATTTTTAAGTTTTATTTGACTTGAAATATCCTTTCAACTCACTTATACCCGTCAAAAGATAAAGACCGGACTTTGAGAGCGAGCTGGTCGTTTATTTTCTTAGGGGTCGTCTGACGGGCATGATGGGGGTATAGCAAAGTAGTCATACTCGTATAGTAGTTTTACTCGTATAGTACCGAGGTAACGTCTACCTTTTGCGGTTCCGTGACGAGTGACGCCATAAAACATCATATCAACCGTAAAAGTTCCACCGTGACGGAATAAACCCATAACTACGTGACATTCGTTGTGTATATATATGCCCGAGGTAATCGAAGTATCAAGCACCTGCTTTTATAATAATAATAATAATTATAATAATCCAGCTGTATTTATTTTAATAAATTTTATAGAAACGTCAATTTCCTTTCAACTTTAGTTTATTACTGTTTTCGATGTCCAATTAAATTTATTGGCACTTGAATGATTTTTTAATCAACTTTGATAAGCGCCAATTAGCGAGTAAATAATAACTTTAATTAGAAATCTTGAATATTATTTTTTTTTTTAATAAAACACCCGAGGAGTGAACCTGAATAGCTAACTTTACTATATATAATGTATTAAGTAAAAAACAACGAGAGAACAAAGTTTAATATATGCGAGCTCGTAAAGCTCGATCGCTGAATTCCGCATAATGCGGTTCGTGTTTCACCAACACGCACGGCCAATTTGTCGCGACTACGACGAGGGTGATCGTGACTTGGAATACATTCTAAGTCAAACGCCTCATTTTTTTTTCTTACTTAAACTTCACATTTTTATTTTAAAAAGTCATTTTTTAAAAACTCATTTTTCATGTTAAAATAATTATCCACGTCAAAAATAAAAAAAAAAATTGATAGTAAATTGTCCGAGGTAAATAATTTAAATTAAACAAATGAAACCTCGTGAATAAATACAACAAACCAGGGCAAAGTGAGTAAAGCACCTGCACTTATAGTTTGTCAATACACAGATACAGATATATTTATTTTATACATACAAATGAACAGAACGGGGGTTAAAGTGTAGAGAAACAGTACCGGGAAAATTGTTTCGCGTAAATCTTTTATGGATCGTAAAGTCTGCTGTATTTTTATTTTATTTGCGCATTAAAAAATGAAGAAAATAGCATTATAGTACCGCGACCATTAGGCTTTTCTACACTATTTTTCTCAAATTGTTTTACCCTTAACAGTATTTATCTGAAACTTAACGTCCTAAGCAATTTATTAAAACGCGATAATCCATTTTTTAATTTACTCCCCCGACCGACCGACGCGGTAATTATTCAAATTCTCAAGGTCTAAACACTGTTTACTCAATTACTTAGCACTCGGAGGTCGGTTATTAAATTCTCGGACACTTGTGAAATAAAATAGAGGTAAACTAAACCATAGGGTACCTGAATCAGAGTTTATATGAAAAAAATGATAAATAGTGACAATAATATTCAGATTCTCGAGGTAGAAACGTTCCACGTAAAATTTATTGCACCGTCTGGACTTAGGATAGCAGAGGTTGTACGTGCCTGGAAGGCTTTGCCTGTTTCTATTCTCCTCTTCTCATTTCTTACACCCAGTGCCTTAAGTCTCCGAGCTCAAGCTCCTTCGTCTACTCCCAAGAAGCCCAGGATCAGGATCCGAGACTTCTAAGATCCCGATACTGAAACTCGCGTCTTTACTATTACCTTGTACTAGGATCGAGAGAATACCACGGACACTCCCAGACTGTTACTCTATAAGACTAAGACATACTACACCAGCATGCTAATAAAAATTTAAACTACCTGAGGACTAACTTTCAAACTTACTCCTCTAACTCTTCCATCAATCATTAAACTTTTTTATACAACATCCCGGCAATTATATTTCCTCCACACGCATAAATATTCATCTTTCTACAATATAAATATAATGTATTTTTTATTCAACGCATAGCAAAGCTTTACTTTATTTACTGTATTTACTTATTAACTTATTCTATTCAAGACACTTTAAAGGCTATTACAATAAACGAGATAAAATTAATACGTGGAATCACGGCTATATATAAATATATTATAAGTATGAGTATATATAAATTACCTCTACTAAAGATTACAAGCGCATGAGTCATTAAAATAATTGTTAACTTATTTCTTATCGTCTGTTGATCTCAATGGGAATAAAAATAATAATTTTATGAAGAAAACTGAGAATTCAAGTTGTGGATTTTTTTTTTTTTAATAATAATAATAAATTAGTAAGTAATGAAAATTTTAAATTAAAAATTAGGATAATAAAAAAATTGAATTTCAAATGAATAAAAATTAAAAACCTGCTAAAAACAATTTTTAAAAATAAAAATAACTTAAGCCATTATTACAATTCCGAATTAATTAGTCAAAACTTCAAAAGTATCGTAAAATAATAAAACATCTGACTCAAGGGACAAACAACTTCGTTTATCTATTTAACTCTAAAACCCTTGTCACTATCAAGAATTAAAGCCCTGTAACCTCAACTCTCCCCTCAAAACTTCAAATCCACCCGAATTAATCACTCTCAATTATTTCCAGGAGCTGTTTCTGAGATCAGAAGGAGAGCACCGCCTGAGCCAGCACACGAGCCGAATAATAGTCAAGAACTGTCCATCAGTGATCTTAATGAACTCAAGCTTGTCACTGATGACCGGCTTGCGATCAATCGACTTTATCAACATATCAAACCTAACTCTCTTCACAGAATCCTTCGAGCTCTCACCAAAAACCCTGCGAGTGATAATATCAATCCACTCTGCAAGCATCGAGATCCTGCCTAGCTTCGTCTTCCGAGGAGACATCGAAGCAATAAGCTTCGAGAGCGTGAACATCAGCACAGTGAGCGCATTTGCTTTCGCGAACCTCGCGGGGACCGAAAAGCTCATCCTTGAAGACTGTCTGATAGGAACAATAGAAGAACAAGCGTTCAAGAAGTTCGACGTGAACTTTTTACACATAATCGGCGGTTCCTTTGGGGATCAAGTACCAAGTCGGGCGATGAACGACCTAGAAGTGTTCACTACTTTCCGGCTAGACGGAGTTTACATGGGGACCGTGAGGTCTGCAGCGTTCGTCATAAAAAAACCAAAGACTGTTACGATACAAAATTGCATTATTGAAGGCCTGGAAGGCGAAGCTTTCGATATCAGCACACGCGGTCCAGTGCTGATCAAAAACAACAACTTCAACAGCCTATCCGCTGGATCCTTTTTGGGAATTGGGATGGATAACGACGATCGTTTGCCTCCAATGGGTTCAAAATTGCAGGAGATAACTTTTACGAACAACACGCTGAATGATTTTGAAGAAGGCTCGGTTTTGTTCGACCGCGCGAGCTTTCGTCCTGTAATCGACAACATTCTGATAAATCGAACCTGCCAATGTTCGTTGTTAAACGAGTGGAAGAACAACATTCTAAACTACAGCAATGTTTACACGCGTTACTACTCCGGGAACTCGGTTATCCAGAACAACAATAACCTGCTGGAACCGATTGAGGAGGGAACGTTTTACTGCTTGGACACCAATGGTGACGTTAGTGGTACCAATAGTATGAGTATTAGTGGATTTACCAGTAGTTTTCGTGATTACGAGTTACGTAGGTGTACTATTGGTAGTTCAACGATGTTACTGTTAGTTGTAATAACGATACTTATATTTTTATTAATAGTTGGGATAGTTCTGGTGGTTTGGTGTTGCAAAAGACACCGCGATAATGGACAAAAACAGTGGATAAGTGTACCGACCAGTGCTCCAGACGTTGTTTCTAAAAAAAACGGGGTTATTGGACGTGGTGGTGTTAATAGTAGTGCTAGTGATGGTAACAATTCTAACAGAACACCTGTCGACTCGAGGATAACTATGGTTGTCCCGGATGGAAGGCTCTATCGTGAAACCGAGTTTCATGTTATTGTTGAGAAAGCTGAACCACTTACTACAGAATTGTAACGAGAGCTTCCGCGCGCCTCAGGCTCTGGATCGAGTAATTATCGCTGTCGAGGTGATAATTTTGGTGTTAATACTCAGTTCAGGGCTGGGGAGCGCGAGTGTCGTGTTTACAAATTGTAAATTATGAATTTATATTTATATTTGTGTGATTTTTATTCTAAACGGTATTTTATTTTTAATAAATCATTTTTATTTTATTAAACCATTGAAAAGACTTTGATATTTATTTTATGGATCGTGATTACCAATTTTTAAATTACTTTATTATTGAGACTGTCATGAACAATAAAAATAAATTTAACCCGTTAGTACAAGCACATTCTTACAACGCCTCTGAGGTTTATTATTAAATTATTGACTCGAATTTTTTATTATTAATTAAGAATTTACTCTACGTATAATGTAATACTGGATAAGTGTAATTATTATGTAAATTAATAATTAAAAAGCAATCGAATGTCGCATGTGTAAAAAGAATACTTGTTTTATTATTTAATAATTTATAATTAATTATTATTATTAATAATGTGTAAAATATTAAACATTCCGAATAATTTAACCAAAAATCTCGAAATTATTTTTAAATATTGTAAAAAAAAATCAAATTAAATAACTCTTAGATGTTTTGCGAGTTAATGGAGATTAAATGACTCTGATAGTTTGTAATAATAATAATAATAATAATAATAATAATAATATTACTAATAATAATTGTAATAGTAAGCTCGTAATAAATTAAGAACAATAAAGCAAACAATACGATCTAAATAAAAATAACAATGAAATGATTATAAATACTTAATGTTTTTATTGTACGCTTCAATTGATGTTTCGGTTCGTTTAATTTTTATTTATCAGGAGTGTCTTTATTGTAATTGTAATAAAACTATTTAAATATAATAATAATAATAATAATAATAATAAAAAGTGTGCCACAAAAGTAAGAAACATCAAATGGTAATTCTGTAGCTTATAAAAAAAATCTATGTGTAAATGATTGATGAATTATCGGGTGGTTAAGTTAACCTTGGCCTTAAAAAACGAGCGTCATTAGTATGAATCTAACGGCTGACGGTAATTAACGTCCCTAAATAATAATAATAAACGAAGAGAGAATAAACGAGTAGAGTAAAAATATCTTGAGATTGTTTTTTATAATTAATAAAATTAATAAAATAGAAAGTTTGATTTAGTTTTAAATAATTGTGAGACTGTGATATAAAAAACAGCCTGACTGTACAATTTGTTTTACATCGAGGCGGTACATATATATATATTATGTATGTATATGTATATAAATTGATAAACCGTTGAATAAAATAAACGTTAATTAAACGGTAATATTAACTATGTATAACGTGTGTCTTATATTTAGATTAGTAAACCCTGTGCGCTTTGCTGTAAGTATTTGTGTAATTTACAGCATCTACTATCATATATATTTTATGTAGGTATAGATATATCTATTTTATAGATATAGAGATTTAGTATCTACACGAGCATTAAACTATTATATGATACGTGAGGAATTGGCCGAGCGAGAAACGAACTGAGTCGATTACCAGACGAGTAAGTATGCAAATGCGGTAATGATTACCTAGCAAATACCAGGAACGCCCTGTGGATCTACGTGAGGGTATCTTCTATCTATCTACTGTTCTATTCGCAAGATATGTACCATCCAGTTTTAAATTCACCGTGCAGTTAAAGATTGTTTTTTTTTTTAACATTTTATAATTCCCGGGTATTAACGATAATTATTACTTAAGCGTAATCAATTTCTCCTCGTGTTATTTTATCTTGTAAATTATTTAGTTTATGACCTTTTGATCGGTGACAATTTTAAATAAAAAATATTACATGCATAATTATTATGGTGATAATAATAACTAATTAGAATCTGATAGGAGAGCAATAGATTAATAATTTATGAGTGTGAATGTAGGTTTATAAGGTTGTTGAACGCGGCGACACACAATCACGTAAATTGTAGGATAAGGCGACGATAAAGACGGAGGATGACGACAAGTATTATCGAGAGTTCAGGGCATTAATGTTCATCAGTTGGCTAGCTGGTTAGGTGGATGGTTGGATGGTTGGTTGGTTGCTCGCTTGGTTGAGCGACGTCATCAAACTATGTCTACGGTTAACTATGATTAATTAAATCGAACTATTGTAGTGTGACAGTTTTTGATTAACTTTAAATATTAATTATTGTAATTATCTTTGGTCATTTCAACGTCGGGATTCATTTATAACTTTTGTGGTAGTGAATAAGTAAAACAGGGTTGCTAATTTTGATTAAACTATTGACATTTTTAAAGATATAAGCTCACCCTGACATTACACTCATCGAGACCTTTCATTTGAATACCAACATCAATTTTTCATATATTTTATATATTTATATATTTCACAAATACCATATATATAAAATATATAAAAAATGCCATGTGGGTACCCAAATGAAAGGTCTCGATGAGTGTACCATCAGGATGAGCTTATATCTTTTAAAATGTCAATAATTAAGAAATGACATAGCTATGTTGTCAACTAATGATATTTTTAAAGATATAAGCTCATCCTGATGTTACACTCATCAAAAGCTTTCATTTGAGTACCCACATGAATTTTTGATATATTTTTCATATATACATATATATAATATACATAAATATATAAAATATATGAAAAATTGATGTGGGTACTCAAATGAAAGATCTTGATGAGTATAACATTGGGATGAGCTTATATCTTTAAAAATGTCAATATTTAGTGCAATTTAACAGAATTCATTATTTAATAAAGCAAAATTTTATTTATTTATAATTCACAAGTCACGGCAGTCACATAGTGACTGCAAAGTTGCTTGTTGAGAAATAATTTACTAATAAAAGTAAAAAATTTATTGAGATAAAAATGAATTTTTCGCAATCCTGTTTTACTTTTCATTAAAGAATAAAAAAAAAAGTTGAAATATTTAGATTGTAAATTTGACATTTAAATGAGAAAGATATTATGCAATCGATAAAAAATTAAAATAATTCAATTACAACTTGAACCATCAACTTTAGACTGTCACTCATGACATCATTGTACATTTAAATTCCCGACAAATAATTTATGTTTAGTTTTGTTTAAACTTTTCGAGAGTTTTAGTAATGCTCATTCGAAGCTCGTATTTATTCATTATAAAAGAACTTTGGTACTGAAATTAAACAACTCTGCAAAAACTATAAATACCTTCAACGAAACGGTACTGCGGATAAATTAATTTTTCACGGGATTAAATTTTTTAATGTTACCTAAAAAAGTTTGTAGAACAAATTTCATTTCATTGTTTTGCATACAAAAATACTTAAAATCACGTGGGTTTTTTTGTTTTCTCAAACATGGCAACTGTTATCCTCGCGTCCATTTGTCAGAATACTACCGCGATGAAAAATAATTAATCACCATCAAAAAATAAATATTAATCACTCACCTAAACGGAAGAACGCCATCAAGAGCCTGGGTAACTGTAGGAGATGTAGCCAGCGCAAATCCTCTGCCTAGAAGTGATGAATGAGCAGCAAATATTTTTCGTGCCGTTTCTTGAGCAATCTTGACATTATCCTCCACTTCTTCCACTAGAATCAATTAATAATAGATAAATTAATAATATTATCTATATTATTATTATTAAGAGAATAAGAAAAATTTTTAAATGAATAATTAAGAAATGACCCTGTATCTCGTGAACTATTGACATTTTTAAAGATATAAGCTCATCCCGATGTTATACTCATCAAGACCTTTCATTTAAGTACCCACATCAATTTTTCATATATTTATATATATTATATATATGTATATATGAAAAATATATCAAAAATGCATGTGGGTACTGAAATGAAAGCTCTTGATGAGTGTTACATCGGGATGAGCTTATATTTTTAAAAATATCAATATTTAAGAAAGTACAGTGCAATTTAACAGAAGCAACATATAACTACATTTATTAAATAATTAATAATAAATAAAACTCACTTGAAACAGCCGGCAGGATAAGATTTTTCTTCATAAGACTAGCAGCACACGCGCCACCCAAAAAGGACAATTCAATCTCTAAATTTTTGAGTCCATTTCCCGCCGTGATCCAGTCGTACCCTATCACCAAGCACTTAAACCCATAAGTAACCGACATATCATCTTTCATATAATCAGAGGCAGTCTCCAATGAGAATATAACTTCATTACCCGGTAATACAATAGCGTATTGGGGCCATTGACTCGCAACATTACTCATTTTATGCAGCACCGGCAAATAAATTGATGACCAATTATCCTCAGTATTCTTATTGCCCCCATTATTAAAATTACTATTACTATTCCCATTACTACCACTAAAATTATTACTATTAGGAATATAAAGCTGGAGATAATCTTCAGGCTGAGAAGTCCCACATTCGGGTGTGAATTCAATGGTCATCCACTTAACAGTCTCCGGAAAGGTAACTTTGTAATGCGACACGCTAGCTGGCTTATAAGGATGCTCACTTTCAACCCAAGTATAGTGATGACTTGTAGTGGTCGGTGAGCTCGTGTGTAACTGATTATCACTATCTTGCGATTGCGACATTCCCATAGCTGTTAATAAATTCAACCCAGCTACATGCGGTAGCATTTCTTGAATAAGAGTCAATACCTGGACGGCGCTACGCGGATCGGAGGTAGCAAGTGGCCCTAGATGCGCCATGACCAGTGGCAATAGTGTAGTAACAAACGTTGCATTACCCAACACCTCAGTAGTAACAATATCTTCAGCACGTTCGCGAGCTAATGCTAAAATTTCATTGGCACGTGTTACAATTGTCATTGTCATCGCAAGCGTGCATTTACGTGCCTGCATTTCCGCGATGGCCTTACTCGTGTGCGGACTTTCCGAGTCTTGAGGATTAGAATAATAAAGTATGTGCGGTATTTGTCCACGTGTTTGCGTAGTTCCATTGAAGCTCAATGAACAAGCGGTAAATGTAAAATTAGTACCATCCGGACCGCGAATTATATTCAACCCACCGTCACCATTACTAGTTCTTCCACCATGATTTCGTAATCTTATCGCATATTTAACATTCTCCTTTATACTAATTGGCTTTGAAAATTTTAGCTCGACAATATCATTGACACAATCATCAGGACCAAATGATCCACGTGTAAAATCCAAACTACTCCACCTTTGCGTGTGCGACGGATCATTACCGGTGTTGTTTTGATCATCAAGCAATTCTAGTTCATAATTATACACCCCGACACCGCCGTAAATACCAACACCGGCAATTACAATCCCCGGACGATCGACAGTGAAACAAATAGCGTCTGGTGAACCATTACCCGTATTCCACGTACGCGTTTGATTAGTCCGCGTAAATCTTGACGGTGTTGTGTACATAAATTTACCACAAGCTGCTTGTAATTCATCCTCATTTCCGCTTGATTGTGCCGCTAATTCAGCAATAACCCGCGCTAATAAATAACAGCAGTGCAATATTAAACCCTTCAAAGAATAATTTTTTTCCCTGCACAAAGATCTTTTAACTGGGATCAAAATAAGGTCCAAAAGTCTATCAAGCACTTCGCGAAACGACCAATTCAATACTTGACGTCCTATACTTTCAATCTGCGATTTATAACTCATTTGCTCTACCAAAATAGGATACTGATGGGGCTCTGAAGAATTCATCATCGGCAGTCCAGAATTATCAGACGGGCTAAGTTGCCTTTTGATACCATCGCTACTGTCCATCACGTTGCTCAATATAGGAAACGTACACCTCAACCGCACCATAGAATTGCATAACGAGGCAAGTACTGCAGATAACAATCTGTCCTTTGGCGAGGTTCCCAACTCTTTGTCAATCTCCGAAAGCAATTCACATAACGACGTCCACTTTAAATATGCCGTGGGGTAAAACGCGTGGTAGCAAGCTACGAAAGTTTTGTGACACTCGTCAAGAATCAGATCTATCATTTTATCACCTCCTACTCGATCTACCAATTTACTGTTTTTAAATTTTATCTTCCCCTTTTTAGTGTTTAAGGGCATCGCGTCGGCTAAAATTTGTCTTAAGAGCGCTCGGACCTCTCCGATGCTCTCAGCCAGTCTCACGGATTCCTGCGGAGTCTTTTTACCCGGTTGATTTGGATAGATTTCATTGGTATACGTACGTAATAGTCGCAAACTTGCATTACTTATGTAAACCAAGTGATCCATTTCTAGTACCGAGTGATAAGAGGTGGTAGGCAATCTGTGAGACGTATCCGACAATCCGGCTTTAAGAGTGTTCCAGCTCCACTGGAGCAAAGATATCAGCGACTGGAAGCAATCTTTAGTGACAGTTCTGCTGAATTCTCTCCGCAAAATATAGACCGGTTCAATATGGTCTCTTGGGCGGTTAGTCGATTGGTTATCGGGTGTTATTACGCGGTAGAGCAATTGGGGAATTTGCCCGGCATTAACGTCAGTCCCGTTGTTAGACTTTTTGGAAGATTTGAAGTAAAACATTACCTGGTCTTCTGCTGTTACAACAGCTTGTCCTCCAGAGCCGCAATCACTTGAGGGGCCGCTTACTTTTACCCAGGCTACGTACCACCGGTTGGCTTGCAGTGGCACCGGTTCGTCGAATAATATTGAGTATTTTTGCCGAGGTTCACATTCGTAGGGAATTTCTTCTGTTTCTACCAACAATTCTCCGTCACTTTCTTGATCACCGCCTTCAATTCCGATATCGAATAATTTTATCTTAGCCGCGTATTCCCCGCGACCACCAAATAAACCGTACCCGCCTAATAAAATGTCAGTGTCGCTCATAAATCGTATTGCCTCGACGGAATGTCCGGAGTAACCCCACCCCCCTCCGTGATTTTCGAACCTATTAACCGTGACAAAATCTTCTCGACTGTAAATTTTGTCGTGATTTGATTGGCTTGTCTCATTTTCTTCGACTACTGTCAAACGCTCGTCTTGGGCTTGTGTTAGGGTATCAAGACAGCTTAAAAGATGCATTGCAGCTTGGGTACGGGTTACGAAACACGTTGACACTACTGGTAATGCTAGACCCGGGCTTAATATTGTAGCGTTTAATGTGGGGATGTTGCGAGACTCGGTTGTGATTATGTTATGCGGACTTAGTTCGTATGTTGAGGGGTTAAATGTCCAAATTACGTTGTAAAGAGAATCTAAACACGCGGCACTGTGGGAAAAATCTACTTGGTCGTTGCCACTGTAACTTGTACAACTACCGTCGCGTTTGTTTATCACTAGACTTTTGAAGGTATTCGCGTGCTCGTAATGGTGAGGGATTAGGATAATGCAGTTTTTGTTGGCCATTACTGTACTCTTGGCTAGGCTTATGGAATTTATCTCGTCGACTTTTATGTAACTTTGGTCGCCCGCTGCGCCGATCCACGTGGCTCGGCGACCCCATCGGGGACCGATGTTTGGGACTATGTTTGGAAAACTGTGCCAGGGTTGGGAGCGCTCGGATCTACGGGCGGTGTTGGATTCGTTTTGGCCGTTCCACCAATTCATACCCAATTGTCCTTTCTGAAATATTGATCATTATAAGATTGCATAGTATTAATTGTTGTTTTAATTATTTCAGAGAGTATTCTACTCTAGAACTTTAAATTTCTGAAGAAATGACCTTGTATCTTGAAAACTATTGAAATTTTTAAAGATATAAGCTCACCCCGAGATTACACTCATCAAGACCTTTCATTTGAGTACCCACATCAATTTTTCATATATTTCATATATTTATATATATTATATTTATGTATATATGAAAAATATATAAAAATGCCATGTGGGTACTCAAATGAAAGCTCTTGATGAATATAACATCAAGATGAGCTTATATCTTTAAAAACATCAATATTTAAGAAATTACAGTGGAATTTATTATTTTATAAAGCAAAATTGTATTTATTTATATTTCATAAGTCGCGGCAGTAAAATACCTCTTTTAATATAATTAAATAATTTTATTCTACCTGATAAGCTCCGCATGTATAAACTTCTCCTTTGACAGTCAATACAACTGTATGATTGCTACCAGCAGCAATTTGCGTAGCCGCTGTTGGTATTTTAATTTGAACTGGACCAGCATGAGCGACTAAATTGCCAACTCCAAGTTGTCCGTAAAGATTACTACCGAAACTAAAAACTTCCCCATTTTGAAGCAGAGCGACTGTATGATGAAGACCACAGGCAACTTGAATGACTGGACTGTCGCTGGGAATTGGCACACGTGCGGGTGGAATACTGGCAATACGCGTAGCATCACCTCGCTCAGCATCACTGCCACCGCTGCCACTGATCCCGTCTTCTGTAAGGACGCTACTTAACGGGAGCTTTCCAGACACGGCTTTCCTCGCTACTACACTTGAACCAACTGTGCAGTGCGCATTTCAAGGTGCAAAAAAAAATCAGTGCATGAATATTAATTATTCAAATGATATTTAATGGTTGATTAAATTAAAATGTACCTGGTCTTTGATTATTAGCTCCTTTCATTTTAATTCCCGACCACTGGACAACACTCGGACCAGCTTTTATTCTCTGGCGCTGTTTACGCTCTTCGAGCCGGCGTTTCAAATATTCTTTGAAATTAGAACCCGATCTCCCTAGTAATTAAAAATAAATAAATCAGTGCTTTTGTCATCCGCAGTTACCTACCAGACCCTAGCAAGCTGTTCGTCAATGTTTTTTTTTTTTTATATTATAAGCAAAAAAAATAAAAATAAAATGTAAAATTTTTAAGGTTTATTAATTAGAAAAATAAAATAAAAAAAAAGTATCTTGCTGGAAGAATGACCCGTAACCAGCCAGCATTGGGTGGCTGGTAGGTTGAGACTACCTTCAAATAACATGTGCAATCTCATCATGCCTAAATCTCCACCACCCGATGGTCCAAATACAGCCATGTCACCGCCGTTGTCACAGCTTTCTCGTGCGCAAATTCTACAACAACCGCACTCGGCACAACCACTATCTCCTACACCACAGCCACACTCCCTAATAATAATTAACATCATTAATATTTACTAATATAATTATCTATTGCGTATTTCATTAAAGCTGTACAATTTGGCTGATTAAAAAGATTACCCAGATTAATCTATATTATTAAGAGAATAAGATAAATTTTGTTTCCAGGATAGTTATATGATAAAATCGGTTTTTTTAGTGAACTAGTTAAGAAATGACCTTGTATCTTGTGAACTATTGAGATTTTTTAAGATATAAGCTCATCCCGATGTTACACTCATCAAGACCTTTCATTTGAGTACCCACATCCATTTTTCATATATTTTATATATTTATATATATTATATATGACAAATATATCAAAAATGCATATGGGTACTCAAATGAAAGGTCTCGATGAGTGTAACATCGGGGTGAGCTTATATCTTTAAAAATGTCAATAATTAAGAAATGACCTTGTATCTTGTGAACTATTGACATTTTTAAAAATATAAGCTCATCCTGAAATTATATTCATCGAGACTTTTCATTTGAGTACCCACATCAACTTTTCATATATTTCATATATTTATATATTTCACAAATACCATATATATAAAATATATGAAAAATGCCATGTGGGTATTCAAATGAAAGCTCTTGATGAGCATAACATCAGGATAAGTTTATATCTTTAAAAAAGTCACTATTTCAAAAAAGTACAGTGCAATTTAACAAAAGTCATTATTCAATAAAGCAAAATGTTAATTTTTTTAGTTAACAATACTTTCCTGGATTAATCGGTTATTTTAAATTAGTTTGCCTAATCAGCTAAAAGCTCAACTTGTTAAGTGGCGAATTACAGTTTATAATGTCGCAGAAATTAAAATTTTTATTAACTCGTTTAATAATTATGATTTTTCATTTAATTTTTTTACGGTTAATCAAAGTAATGAAACCAATTATCCAGCTAAGTTAATATAAATAACCTGGCTAAAATTCCCAACATAAAAAATTCCACAGCTTTAATATTAATTAAATAGTAAGTAAAAATGCTCACTGTCCAGGTCTTTTTGGATTTCGATTAGGTAAAATACTGCTCAAACATGATATACCAAAACCAGTGCATTCACGGCATATTGTACAGACCATGCAAGCACGATGTCTCCATTGATGCTGACCAGGTGGGCACATGCCTCTTGCTTCTTCCCATTCTTCACTCTGTTCACCCGCTTCTAGTGATTATAAAACAAACAAAACCCAATAAGAGATACAAAAAAACAACTAATTAAAAGCGCATTCATTTAAAGCTTCAGAAAAAATCCTAACACACTAAAAAAAAAAAAAAAAAAAAAATAACATACCATCTTCAGCAATTATTAATTCATCTTCTCCAGTGCCTGTTTCCATAGCCACCACGGTAACTTCTTTATTAATTGGTCGAGTTACGGAAAAATCTCTTCCGCACTGACCTTTATTATTTATTCCAAAAGTATATAAATGCCCTTTATTAGTTATAACAGCAGCGTGAGCTTTTCCTAGAGCTACTTTTTGGACGAATACATCTTTAAGGTCATTAACAATACCCGTGGTTGGATCACTATGTAATGTATCTTTTCCAAACATAAACAACAATCCATCTTTGGAGACAAGAGCTGTTGAGCCATTATTGCAAGCTGCGTCGACTATAAAATGACCCTCAACTTTAAGCATTTTCTTTGGTTTAACCGGCTTCAAAGCACGTCGCAATTTATTGCTATCGCCATCTTCACCGCGTCTAGCTGTACCCGCAAAAAATACTGTACCATCTTCCATGACTAGAACAACATGCTGGCCATCGTGACCAGCGACTATTTGCAAACATTTTGATCCTTTTGCCAAAGTAAATTCCAACCAGCGATTCGGTCGTGTGTTACTTTTCATACCCAGGCAACTGCCTTTTCCGGTATACAGTAATTTTCCTGTTGTTGTTTTTAGGATACAAAACTCTTTACCCGCGCTAACTGACACTACTTCATCGTCACAACCTGGACTCAGTGTATGGACAGCTTGTTCTTCGTCGAATGTAGCCCATCCAAATACGTCAACACACTTTCGAGCTAATTTTAATGGTAATTCGGATGTTACTGTTACTGGATTGCTTAGAGTATTTATTGTCCGTACTACGAAACCTTCCTGTAAAATAAAAAAATTATTAATTAAGAAATTATCTTTTATCTTGGGAAATATTGATATTTTTAAAGATATAAGCTCATTCTGACGTTACACTCTTCGAGACCTTTCATTTGAATACCCACATAAATTTTTCATATATTTTGTATATATATGGTATTTGTGAAATATATAAATATATGAAATATATGAAAAAGTGATGTGGGTGCTCAAATGAAAGCTCTTGAGGAGTGTAACATCGGAATGAGCTTATATCTTTAAAAATGTCAACAATTAAAAAATGACCTTGTATCTAGTCAACCACTGACATTTTTAAAGATATAAGCTCAGCCTGACATTATACTCATTGAGACCTTTCATTAGAGTACCCACATCATTTTTTCATATATTTTCTATATTTATATATATTATATATATGTATATATGACAAATATATCAAAAATGCATGTGGGTACTCAAATGAAAGCTCTTGATGAGTGCAACATCAGAATGAACTTATATCTTTAAAAATGTCAATATTTAAGAAAGTACAGTACAATTTAACAAAAGTCATTAATAAATTATGAAATCTGTCAATAAATTACACCATTCTTAATTAATCAGTACTAAAAAATCTCGAATAAATATTTTGACTGCACTGAATAATTATTTTAATCATTTAAATTAACTTTTAAAAAGACATATTATTTCATAAGAAAATAAATTAGTCTTCAGTTTTATAAATTAAAAAAAAAAACAATCTTTTCTCTAGCATTTATTGGATACTCTTAACCAATCACCACAATAAATATATTTAAAAAAAACAACTTACATCCTTTCCTGCAGTAATCATTCCCAAATTATCCCCATCAGAAAACATAACAGAAGACGGCCAATCTTTGCCTTCCAAAACAGCAATGCCTCTAACGTTCAAAGTTTCAGCATCTAACTCCAACAATTCACACTGTTTTTTTGGCGCGCATTTAAAGTATAAAGCATTCTAAAATCCGAGTAAAGATTAATTAATAAATAAAGTGATTTTCCTTTCTAAATACTTAAATATTTAAATAATATACTTACATTAGCATAACCCAACCAGCCAATTTCAGCAGGATAAAAATCCGGTTTGTGAGCATAAAGCTGACCACCGACAGAACCACCATACCCACTACCAATTTTCAGCAGTCCTCTATTAGTATGCAAGTATAAATATTTACCATCGCTGACAAAACTCTTTCCATTCAAAACTAGATTACTAATTTCGGTAGTCAGTCTTAAATTAAATGTGTAAATTTTTGAATTTTTCGGAACTCCGTAAGTGATCCAGTCAGGCCTTGTTATTTTGCCCAAAAGAACAGCTTCTACACTGCGTTGCAAGGATGTCAACACACAGGGCATGCGGATGTTTTGCACAGCCAGAGCACGTGGACACATCAACAACGCAGCGATAGCTGCCAATAATCGGCCAGTATCACCCCGAACTACCACGAGACTTAATAAACAGGCACAAGCAACAGCAGTCAAGTGTGTCCCGTCGTTAGCAACCGTTGATTCAGGTCCATGAGAGGTTGCTAAGTCCAACAACAAATCAAACAGCGGTTCAATAACATCGTCAGGCTCAGACTTAAGACCTTCTGGCAACTGTCCTTGCAGTATATCCAACAAGGCACACAACGACTTTGTACACAATTGCGAATCAACTGTTCTACTTTCACGCATCAATGTAAATACACTCCTCAATCCTATACCCACTATTTTAGGTAAATTTTGTATCGAAGAGATACGATCTTCATCGTCACTGTCAGTGTCTATCGTATCACTTAATTCTGGGGGTGGTGGAGATGTTGAGCTACAATTTGTTGATGACTTTATTGACAGTTCGTGATTTGTCAGACGTGAATTCTTCTCAAGTATCGAGTCACGTACACTAGCAAACACTGCGAATGCTGATGCATTACTAGATAGTTCTATTTCTGGTGGTCCTGCATTATTTAAATCTCCACTTATGTCCAGCTGAAACAAAATATTTACATTAATCTATGTTATTAAGAAATAAGAAAAATAATGAGTTTTGTTAAATTGCACTGTACTTTTTTAAATATTGAAGTTTTTTAAGATATAAGCTCATCCCGATGTTACACTCATCGAGACCTTTCATTTGAGTACCCACATCAATTTTTCATATATTTTATATATTTATGTATATTATATATATGTATAAATGAAAAATATATCAAAAATGCATGTGGGTACTCAAATGAAAGCTCTTGATAAGTGTATCATTGAGATGAGCTTATTTCTTTAAAAACGTCAACATTGATGTCAATACTTAGCATAATTAAGAAATGACCTTGTATCTTGTAAAATATTGACATTTTTAAAGATATAAGCTCATCTCGATGTTACACTCGTGCAGACCTTTCATTTGAGTACCCACATTAATTTTTCATATATTTTCTATATTTATATATATTACATATATGTATATATGAAAAATATATAAAAAATGCATGTGGGTACTCAAATGAAAGCTCTTGATGAGTGTATCATCAGGATGAGCTTATAACTTTAAAAATGTCAATATTAACAAAAATCATTACTTATATTGAAAAAAAAAAAATATAATTTTGTTTAATCATTTATTGTTATTTTATTTAATCAAACCTTTTTTTTCTCCTTCTTTTTACTGGCTCGAGTCTTTTTACATTTCTTCCAATCATTTTTTGACCTACAGACAGAAATAAATGATAAGTAAACAGTAAACGTACATTATTCTACCAATACAAACATTTGACAACCTTTATATAAATAAAAACCACTTGTTAAAAAATAAATTTTATAAAAATTCAAGTTTGTTAAATATTCTTAAGATTAATTCTTTTTAATTCTGTCAATTTTTTTAATCTACTCCAAAATAAGAACTGTCAAACGTTTGTTAAACATTTTTACGATTAATTCTTTTCAATTCTATCAATTTTTTAATTTACTCCAAAATAAGAACTGTCAAATTACTTCATTTACGCGCATTAAATATAATTACTTATTACATATATTCATAAATTGTATATTATTTAAAAAAAATTGTATTTATATTTCCAACTATTATTTAATTATAAAAAAAGATTATTTTTTATACTCCAATAATTAATTAAAAAATAAAAACTCTTCAGGTGTCTGAAGCAAGTGTCATAAATCAGAGTTTTGATTGTTAAAAAAAAAGAATATCTGTAAAATAAATGAACATATCATTATTAAGAAGCCAATTGATAATAAAGTGATAGGTAAGTGTAAAGTCAAGCGGATTTTATTTCATAATTGAATTAAATATTAAAATAACGTCACGTAAACATATTATATTGCTTGAGGTTATATACCAAGTGTCAAATGTTTTGTATGCTCCAAAATATATATGTATATGTATATATGTATACATATAAATATATATATATATATATATATAACTAAACACAAAAATGTACCTTTGATTATCAGCGGTATTCTTGAATAATTCGTAAAAAGATTTAGCATAATTGATAGATTCTGATTGAAGCCTTTCATGATCAATGGATATCATGTTTAATAATATATATTAATTAAAATAATATATATCATTGAAAATAAAATGTTATGTAGGTAAATGAATACACAGTTAAACATAACATTCACCAATTCATTTTTGTATAATATTATTGATCGTCACTTTTATATATTAGGTTGTTTGTCTCACTCACGGCACGGCGTACACACACACACACACACACACTGTTGGCGCGGTCGCCGATATGAGTCTGAGAGCTATACTGGCTGAGAATGAGAACTGACACTGACACTCACTGCCAGCTACCAGCTACTGCTCACCATCTACACGCTACACACCAACTAGCACCTACAAGAGCAGGCATTGACCATACCTCCGTACTCCGTACTCCGTAGTCCGTACCACCACCAGTTTCAACGTTTCAACCAACAGCAGCCAAGATTTTACTGATAGACCAGCTGCTGCTATTCTCTCTCTATTTAAGTTAACAAAATAACTTTATATAAATATATGTATTGTGTATGACGTTGGAGTATATATACTTGTACCTGTAATTATGTATTATTTATATTTTTTAGCGGATGTTTAATGTAAAGTGATTGTATTAAAGTGTTAAAGTATATTTCCTGCTTCATAAAATTTATATTCTACTTTTGTCTGATAATATGAGCGAGCTCTGACCCCCTTCGGGTCTTGACAACAAATAAATATCAAAAATCACGTCATCTTTATTTTGAATTCTATTGGTTATCTTATTTCAGATGAGATTATCCGTTGGTTAGTCGGCAGCCAATGAAAATCGATATATGATGCGGGAAATTTAATGCGATTGGATGAAGAAAAGTTTGCAAAAATTCAAATTTTATGTTGTGTCTAAAATAAATTAGTTATAAGATTTTTTCTTATTTTTTTAAGTACATTGTTTTAAAAATGATATTAAAGTCAGCAGTCGTTTGATCATTTTTTAATTTTTTTAATAAATAAATTTGCTCCAAAAAACTATTTCTAAAAAATTGCATTTTTTTGTTCTTTGATTTTCTAAATGTCAATTTTTTTTTTCTCATTTTTTTTAGACATAATTTATTTGTTAAAAAAATTCTTAAAATTATAAAATATCTGCTAAATTAATTTTCATGTTTTAAAAAATGTCATTATTTTAATTTTTTTTATAATAATTTGTTTTTTATTAAAATTTTACTCATATTTTTTTTAATTTTCGACATTTTGATTTTTTTTTCAGTTTTTTTCATAACAATTTATTAAAAAAAAATTTTAACACTTGAATTTTTGTTATAATTATTTATTTTTTATAAAATTTCACTAAAATATTTTTTTTAAAGTTAAATTAAATATCAAAGGAACATAAAGTTACTTTTAGAATAAATTTTTGATCAATAAAACACCAATATAGTCTCCATAAATAATAACAATGCCAGGTATAAAATTTCGGAGCAATATTAGCTTGGGGTGAGATCTGTCCCATATGTTGTGTCTGTCAAGTTAAAGGTGGAAAATATTTATGACTAATATACCTTTAGTAGTTTTAAAGTTATTTTGGTGATAAATTAATGGATTATTTATATTACTTTAAAAAAAAAAAAAAATAAAAATAAGTCGAAAGTGATTAAGTGATTTAAAAAATAAATATTGATATTTTTATACTTAAATTTTTTATAAGCTTATTTTTTTTTTAATTTTTTAAACTTACTTATTATTTCTCAAAATTTACTTTAAGATATAAAATTTTAATACTTACTAAAAAAAGACAGTGAAGTTAACTTATATTAGAAATTTTTTAATAATTTTATAATAGTGAAATTATTATGAAAAAAGTTTAATAAAAAAATTATTAGTGGAAATTTTTTTATTCTAAATAATTTTTTATAAAAATTAAAAAATTGACAGCTATCAGCTGACTTCAGTATCATTACTAAAAATGTATTTAAAACTTTTCCCACTTATTACAATTTTAAATATGGCGTAAGTAATTCTTAGTAGTAAATTTCCGGTTCCGAGAAGTGTACACAGCCGGTAAGTTAAACATATGATAGAGAGATAACAGCTGAGAATCACGCGTCTCCCGCCAAAACAGCAGAAATCTCGTGCATTAACGCGCGCATTTACATCTGTCGTGCGTCATACTCTCCATTTGCAAGCAACAAGCGGAGTGAAATTGTCAAATATATTTTTCGCCGACTATAAATAATTTTAATTTAACCTTTAAAAACAAAATACCTATCAAGTGCTTAATAAAATGACGGGCAAAGACAAGAGAGAAAGGATGTTTGTGGTTAAACGGAGTAAGTACTTACAAAATTACCAATCATACCGTCTAACCAAATTATTGAGTCCATTTATTATACTATTTTAATTTAATTCAATAAAAATATACAAAAATAACAATTTTTTATATATTTTTTCCAGATGGAGAAAAAGAGGAGGTTCATTTTGATAAAATCACCACCAGGATTGAAAAACTATGTTATGGCTTGGACATGGATTATGTGGATCCGGTAAGTTGATAAAATTATAGCCATTGTTTTATTACAATTTGAAATCAATAATCAATAATTTATTTATTTATTTATTTATTAATTGACAATGCTTAACGATGGGACTTAATAGTAATTATTCTAAAAAATATTTAATAAATTAAGTTGGATTATTTACCTTGAAATAAATATTTGTTAGATAAATTGTTAAATTGTTTTTTAGCCGGCGATAACATCAAAAGTAATCGATGGTCTTTATGCTGGTGTGACGACAGTTCAATTAGATAATTTAGCTGCTGAAATAGTTGCTACTATGACAACTAAGCATGCTGATTATGCTATCTTAGCAGCTAGAATTGCTGTATCTAATCTTCACAAAGAAACTAAAGCTAGTTTCAGTGGTAAGTTTATTCAATATTTTATTTTTTATTTATTTCATTAAAATAATAATCAATTTTTCATTATTCTATATTTTAATTTATTTTATTCACAGAGGTAATGAACGATCTACACAATGCCATTGATGAGAAGACAAAAGACCACGTCCCAGTAATCAGTAAGCATCATAACGACATAATCCAAAAGCACAAAAAAGTGCTAGATGCAGCAATAAACTACGACCGTGATTTTGGCTATAATTTCTTTGGTTTCAAGACACTGGAGCGTAGTTATTTATTAAGAATAAGCGACAAAATAGTCGAGCGTCCTCAGCAGATGTTGATGCGAGTTGCTGTAGGGATCCACGAAGAAGATATTGATAAGGTCCTTGAAACTTATGAGCACATGTCCCAAAAATACTTTACGCATGCATCTCCAACTCTTTTCTCAGCTTGTACTATGACCCAACAAATGTCTAGGTAATTATTGATTTTAATGATATCTTATTTTGCTTTATTAAATCATGATTTTTGTTAAATTGCACTGTACTTTCTTAAATATTGACGTTTTTCAAGATATAAGCTCATCTTGATGTTACACTCATCAAGAGCTTTCATTTGAGTACCCACATACATTTTTGATATATTTTTCATACATACATATATATAATATACATAAATATATAAAATATATGAAAAATTGATGTGGGTACTCAAATGAAAGGTCTCAATGAGCATAACATCAAGATGAGCTTATATCTTTAAGAATCTCAATATTTCTCAAGATATACCAAAATGTTTCTTATTCTCTCAATAACATAAATAAAACAACTCTCTTCATAAAACTTCCAGTTGTTTCCTGTTGACCATGATCGACGACAGTATCGAGGGAATCTACGATACGATAACCAACTGCGCATTGATAAGCAAATGCGGGGGCGGAATCGGCCTGAGCATCCACTGTATCCGCGCTAAAAACACCCCAATCCAGAGTACCAACGGCGTATCAAACGGCTTGGTACCAATGCTGCGTGTGTTCAACAACACAGCTCGCCACGTCGAGCAATTCGGCAACAAGCGACCGGGCGCCTTTGCAATCTACATCGAACCCTGGCACTCAGACATCTTCGACGTACTTGACCTAAAAAAGAACACCGGAAAAGAAGAATACCGCGCCCGGGAATTATTCTACGGTCTCTGGATCCCTGATTTGTTTATGCAGCGTGTTAAAGACAACGGCAAATGGAGCCTGATGTGTCCCCACCAATCTCCTGGTCTTCACGATTCATGGGGTGAAAAATTCGAAGAAATTTATACTAAATACGAAGAGCAGGGTCGGTATGTCCGTCAAGTCGAAGCTCGTGATATTTGGATGGCGATACTTAAATCCCAAGTCGAAACCGGAACTCCCTACATGGTCTACAAAGATCACTGCAATCGCAAGTCTAACCACCAACATCTCGGTACAATTAAAAGCAGTAATTTATGCACTGAAATAATTGAATACTCTAGTCCGGAAGAAATAGCAGTCTGTAATTTAGCTTCAATTGCCGTAAATAAATTTGTCGACACGACAAATTACACTTACGACTTTGAAAAATTAAAAGCAGTCACCAAAATAGTCACCAAAAATTTAGACCGTGTAATTGACGTAAATTCTTATCCATTACCCGCGGCTGAAAATTCTAACCGCAAGCACCGTCCAATGGGAATAGGTGTCCAAGGTCTTGCAGATGCTTTCATACTAATGCGCTATCCTTTCGAGAGTGAGGAAGCTCAGAAATTGAATATCCAAATTTTTGAGACTATTTATTACGGAGCTCTAGAAGCCAGCTGCGAAATGGCTCAAGAAAAAGGCACCTATGAAACTTACAAGGGTTCTCCAGTTAGTAAGGGAATTTTGCAGTACGACATGTGGGATGTAAAGCCGACTGACTTGTGGGACTGGTCGGAGCTAAAAGCTAAAATTGCGGAACACGGGTTGAGAAATTCACTTTTATTGGCGCCTATGCCTACAGCAAGTACTGCACAAATTTTGGGGAATAATGAATCTATTGAACCGTACACTAGCAATGCTTACGTAAGGCGTGTTCTGTCTGGAGAGTTTCAGGTTGTTAATCCACATTTACTCAAAGATTTGGTTAAGCACAATTTGTGGAACGATGATATGAGGAATGAAATCATTGCTAACAATGGATCTGTTCAGGAGATTGAATCTATTCCGGATGATCTGAAGAAATTGTACAAAACTGTCTGGGAAATTTCACAGAAGACGGTGTTGAAGATGGCTGCTGACAGGGGCGCTTTTATTGACCAATCTCAGAGCCTTAATGTTCACATGGCTGAACCCACTACGGGGAAATTAACTTCCATGCACTTTTATGGCTGGGAAATTGGGCTGAAGACTGGGATGTATTATTTACGCACCAAGCCTGCGGCTAGTGCTTTGCAGTTTACTGTTGATAAAACTAGGCTGCCTAATTACCGTCCTAATAAAGGGTTGAATGATAGCAGTTCGGCTGAGCCTGGTGAAAATAGGAAAGTGGAACTTACAGAAGAGGAGATAAAAGAAGAAGAAGAGGATCCGGTACTTGTTTGTTCAAGGGAGAATGGGGAAGCTTGTATGGCTTGCAGTGGATGATTGTTTAATTTTATTTTCCATTTTTCTTAATTTTTCAGTTAATTTTTATTAATTAGTACTTAAGATAAGAGTACTTTGTTAAATAGTATTAATGCATATCGATGTACACGGTATGAAGTTCTAAATAAATTAACAGCATTTGTAATTGGTAATATCTTACAAATTTTAATTTTATGTGCAATTTTTCATCTATTTTTAATGGTATGAATTTATTTTATTTTTCAAGTATCAATTAATAAAATTAAAAACCAAATTTTTTTTAAGCTTACAATTAATTATTCTTTAATAAAATAATTTTTAAAAATCAAAATTCTTATGTAAAAAAATAATTAAACTCTGAAAATATTTTTAAACTGGAATTAATAAATATTTGATTATTTTTTTCTCTTAATAAATTATTTACTATTAAAAAAATATTTTTTTTTATTAACATTTATTTTTTTTCAATTAAAAAAAAATTTTTGTGTCAATTTCAATAATTTTTAATTGTTGAAATTAAAAATCTTCAAGACAAAATAAAAATATAGCATTAAAGTTAGAGAATTTTTTAATTTTTTTTAACAAAAAAATTATTTTTAAAAAATTGCATTTTTAATTTTTTTAAATTTCTACATGTCAGTATTTTTTTCTTATCCTTTTTGTCATATTTAATTTGTTACAAAAAAATTCTAAAATTTATTAAAATAAAAATTTAAAAATTGGCGGTAAAAAATAACCAATGAAAACGGAGCCTCAGCTGTTATTAAGGCAGTATTCAAGTTACACACTTTTCCACATTGTTCGAGAAGGTCCGCCATGACAGCTGATGTATTCATCATCGCTTGACATTTTATCGGAACATGATATTTTGTAAAATTTATTTCATCAAATGGCAGACTCTTTTTTCGGATTTGATACTTCTGTACCAGTAAGTTAATAAAAATAATTTATTTAAATAAACTATTTTTTATGAAAAATTCTCTAGATCACTCTCAAAGTTGATTTATTTTCCAGACTATTTTCTAGCCCAACACGCTCTTACTCCAAAATATTTTTCTATTTATTTTTTTTTTCCATAAATACATCATCGACTTAAACTTCTTCTCCAGTGATTTTTATTATTTTCACCAGTGACACATTTAAAAATTAATATTCATACTATTCATTTATTAGTTTTATTATCATAAAAATAATATAAAAATGAGGTCGATGACTTTTTGTCGTTACGATCGACAATCAAGATGCCGGACATAACCTGGAAATATTTTTATTGATAATAAAAATTTTATACTATGTTTACATTTTTCATTTAATCATTTTATTTATTTATTAATAAATTAAATTTTAGGGTGCTGGTCTAGATGACGCTATAGAATGTCCGCTAGACGAGGACGATATCGTCGAAGAGGACGAGTACGATGCATTGAACGACGAGACATTTGGCTCGGCTACCGATGATGATTGGGAGAAAAATCATGAAAAATTAGCCCAAATTGCTGAATCTACAAGATTGCAAAAGCAATTGATTAATCATAAGGTAATTAACAAATAATTTATATACATTAAAATCTAATTTTTAACATTAACATATGGCTTTGATAAAAAATCTTATTGTTTGATTATAATTTATAATTTAATGATTTAAACTTCTGAGAGGTTTTAAAAAAAGAAAAAATAATTTACAGTTTCAATTATCGTATCAATAATTCATTTTTCTTTATTATATGACTCAAGCACCTGAAATAATATCAATCCACGTAAAATCATCACATTAATTTTAGAAATAATTATCGAAGTAGTTATGTTGACATTATGCAGATTGTTCATTAATTTAATTTCTTTTGGAGTAATTAATTATACTTGTTTGCTGTTTGAATTATTATAATTTCAAATATTTTAATGGTTCTTTCTCTAATGTGATTTTTAAATTTAAGATATTAAGTTTTACACATCTCTAGATACATAATTAAGAAATGACCTTGTATCTTGAGAACTATTGACATTTTTAAAGATATAAGCTCATCCTGATGTTACACTCACCGAGACCTTTCATTTGAGTACACACATGCATTTTTGGTATATTTTTCATATATACATATATATAATATACATAAATATATAAAATATATGAAAAATACCATGTGGGTACTCAAATGAAAGGTCTCGATGAGTGTAACATCAGAATGAGCTTATTATATCTTTAAAAATGTCAATAATTAAGAAATGACCTTTTATCTTGTGAAATATTTACATTTTTAAAGATATAAGCTCATCCCGATTCATTTAAGTACCCACATCAATATATCATATATTTATATATTTCACAAATACCATATATATATATATATATATATAAAATATATAAAAAATTCCATGTGGGTACTCAAATGAAAGGTCTCGATGAGTGTAACATCGGGATGAGCTTATATCTTTAAAAATCTCAATAATTAAGAAATGACCCTGTATCTTGTTAACTATTGACATTTTTAAATATATAAGCTCACCCTGACATTCCACTCATCAAGACCTTTCATTTGAGTACCCTTATCAATTTTTCATATATTTTATACATTTATATATATTATATATATTCATATATGAAAAATATATAAAAAATTCATGTGGGTACTTAAATAAAAGCTCTTGATAAATATAACATCAAGATGAGCTTATATCTTTAAAAACGTCAATATTTTATAAAATACAGTTCAATTTAACAAAAGTCACTATATAATAAACCAAAATTTAATTTATTTACTCTAAAAAATTTATATAATATACCAAGATACATCGATTTTATTAAATAAATTTAAATTTACAGAATGGCATTGACGTGGATATCGAAGGAAGTTTTCCTCACTTGGTCATGGACGAGAAAGACGGCATCGTCCCAAGACCCGGAGTATGGGACAGCCCATCCAACTTCCCCGTAGTCCCACCAAATCCATCTCTATCAGTGGCCTTGAAAAACGTTTGCACCGTGGAAGAATTAGAGCGTGGCTTACGACCACCTCCCGGTTTGGTAAAACCATCAACACCACAGCCAACAAACATAAATATCGTCAACAATATCAACACAACGACAAACCAAACTCCTTCAGCACAGCAATTACCACTACCCCGACCGGGGGGTCAATTTTCCTTAGACTACCCAATGATAAATGACCTTACCGCCAACCTACGTGCAAACTTATTGAACAACATGCCTCGATTTCCACCGGGTCTCACCATGCCGGGTCAACACCAACACCAACACCCAGTGATCCTTCCACCAAACGTGCGACTGCCAAACGCACCCCTGTTGCCAAATACTCGACCTTTGGCTGGGAACCCAGCAGCAGCTGCCGCCGCAGCCGCAGCGGCTAATTTACTCCGATACCCTTTGCCGCCGCATTTAATGATCCCTCACAATAACCAGCGGCAGCCAATGCACGGTAATTTTTCAGTCGGTAATTTTCCTCAAGCACCACCTAATTTACCGCGACCTAATTTACCGCCTAATTTACCTCAATTTATGCGACCAGAGCACCCTCTGATGTCGGCGTTCCCTAATAATTTACCGAACCATCACCCACATCATCAGCAACAGCAACATATTCAACAGCAACAGCAAAATCAGCTTCAACTTCATCTTCAGCATCAACAGTCTAATAATCAGCAGCGTAATCACAACAGACCAACTTATCAAACCAACGATCAATCTTCTTCTAATAATCACAATCAACCTTTCTTTAAAAATAACCAAAATTGGAACCAAAATCGGAATAATCAAAGGTACCATCATAATAATTACAATAATTATCACAACGGATTAAACGAAAACGGAGAGTACGACGAATACGCAGGTATGATGAGCAATCGGGAAAAGCAATGGCTGATTAACATCCAGCTGATGCAGCACAACACAAACCAACCGTACTTTGATGATTATTACTTCACTGTATTTTGTGATCGTCAGAATAAAAAAAATAATGAAAGTCCGGATAATAAGGATAATAAAAAACAAAATAAAAATGGATACCGTGATAGGGACAACAAGGATCAGTCCCAGCATATTTTGACAAAAGTAGTCTACACTCCGACCCAGTTTGAAAACTCACTTGGGAAATTGCAGTGCGGAAGTGTCACCGCTCCGAGGAAAATCATTGACATGGATGTGGTGGCTAGCAGTGATCCGCAGCAGAATCAAGCTTCGCAGCAGAAAGATATGAAGAAGGCAAGGCAGAGATTGTTGGAGATAGAACGCTTGTATACGGTTCAGCTAAAGCTTGAGGATGTTAATAATCCTTTGGCTTTGGTGGCTGAACAGCAAGCTCTTCAGCAGCAGCAACAGCAAGTGGACCAGGAGATTGAGAAGCCAGTGAAGAAAACTGCGCCAGAGCTGATCAATATTATGCTAACTTCGATACTCCAATTGCTAAAAGAAGATAAATTGTCGAGTATTTTGAGCATCAGAAAGGGAAAAGCTTTGTTGTTACGGTTTTTACCGTTTCTCAGTGTTACGGAGTACACTCAGCAACTTGGGGACTTCTGGGTTGGATTCATTCGTGGTCTGGCGGTTATTAGTCGGAGAGATGCTAATATTCTTATAAGGTTTTTTCCGGAGTTTCATAGGTGGATTGAAACTGTTGATGGGTTTGAGGTTTTACTGCGCTTGGCTAAAGGCTTTTTGGATTCTGTCAATCAGCCGAATAAGAATAATAATAGTTTGGCACTCGCTGTTACAAATAAGGTATGTTTATTTTTTTATTTTATTAACAAATAATTATTTAGTTATTTTCTAACTTGAAATAGTTTGTTTGAAAAAATTTAACCTCAATTTTTAATTTTCTTCAAATATTTTTGTTGAATTGCACTGTATTTTCTTAACTATTGATATTTTTAAAGATATAAGCTCATCCTGACCTTATAATCATCAAGAGCTTTCATTTGAGTACTCACATGCATTTTTGATATATTTTTCATATATTTATATATATATAATATACATAAATATATAAAATATATGAAATATTGATGTGGGTACTCAAATGAAAGGTCTCGATGAG